GTTATGTAAAGAAGAATCATTAAAAATGATAAATCAACTTTGTGTTTTGAACAATTTTGTGGGGTTTGCTTGAAGCTTTTTACTCTTTTGATGTTGATTTCTAGCTATTGTGATTTGTGTCATTGGTTGGACACTGTTTTGTGCGTATTTGATGCTAGTGAAGGCTGCTGTTTTACACTCTTAGCTCGGCAGAAGATTTCATGCTCGACTAGGCAGGAATGCTAGAGAAAACACACATAATGGTGAATTGGTGACAGATTTTCAAGAGAAGAATCTGTTTCTTTGGCCAGCTTCATTGTTCTAGGAGAGAAACTGAGAGCAAAAGAAATAAAGCAATTGTCATCTCAAAACCTACAGCAGCAAGAATATTTTCAAGTAATTTGAGTTTAGGCCATCTTTCTCATGAACGCATATTTCATCATTTACTATCCATCGCATTTTATGATGTTGCCCTTTCCCTTGCCATTGCCATTCAAAGTCTGTTGTCTCTCCATTTGGCAAAATGTTAATCAGCTATTTCCAGGATTCCACGCAATATTTGTCTGGTGGCTTGTGTCCTCCATGTGCATAGAATTCTTCAAATGGAAAAAAAAATTGTATATTGTGTAAGCTTTAAATAAAAGAAGAATTGCTTATAGAAGTTTGTTGGCATTTGAACAGCGGTGTAGATCTGAAATGGCGAGGTATGGCATGGGAGCATTGAACCCTAACCTCCATTTATTTTCTTTCTGATGGTGTCCATTTTCCCATTATCGTAAATGTTTTTCTTCTCAAGGAGGGAGGCTCCAAGGATCTTACAAATTGCGGAGGTTGATTTCTGTTGAAGTTAAGTAACCAATTTTTTCGTAACAAAACAGTGGAACAAAAAATACTTTTCATTCAACCCGTTGTAGACAATATTTGTCTCGCTCTTTCGTTTTTGTTTCTATGATTCGGTGTAGGACAATCTGTACTTTACTAGATTTGAAGATTTTTAGTTAATAAATACTCATAATTTTACACTAAAATATCTCTCGAAATCTTAGTTAAAAAAAACTATAATTTATATATTTTTTTCAAATTTATTTTTTCAAATCATAAACTACCGTAACATCAATCAAACATTTAATCAATTACAAATAATTTAACAATTATATATCCGATAGCTTTAATGAAGCAAGTACGAATCCGACCAAATCTGATGACTGGACATCAAAGGGGATATAGCATAAACACCTAGATTGCCTCATATTTATTACAGCCATTTGAGACCGTACAAGTAAAGCTTTGATGTGTTATGTGTGATGTGTGATGGTATCATACAAGACTGAGCTCATCAATTACAGTTTGAGATTCTGTGCCGTCTTGAGATTCGACAGCTGCAAGTGTCTTCCTCAAAGCTACTAACTCTTCCCCAGCACCGCATACATATGCTGAAGCTTGTCTTCCGGACAAGGTCGCTCCTTCCATGCTGTCTATGTAATCCTGTTCAATGCAGAAACCATGCTTAATTTATTGTAGTTTTTTTTTTTCACATTTTCACTCAAATAAAGCAAGTATTGCTTATCTCTCTGGTTGCTTTTGTTGCTCCCTTTTAATTAACAGGTTGTTTATATACTGAAAGCTGTGGAGGCCAGCACTAAAGCTACTTTTCTATCAAGCTAAAGGGTCTGGGGAAATTTGAGTAACCTGTTTTGTATATGAACCAGCAAGGAAGAAATTCTTCACAGGTGTCCTCTGATCAGGTCTGAAGGGATCTTTGCCAGGTCCTTCACGATACAAAGATTGTGCAATTTTTACAACAGATGACCAGGTTACTTCTAGACCTTGGGATGACGGGAATAAAGCCAGGACCTGGTTATTTAAATAAAAAAATAAGAGCAAACAATGAGAATATTGCACAACAATAAATGGATTCATCAAATGATAATTCAATACTCAAATAAGAATCAACTACCAACAATGAAAGTTAGGAGTGCATTATTTTAGCCATCTTTTTATAATGAAATCACATTAACTCAAGCTAACCATCTGTGATGATGTAAACCCTTCATCTCTAACTGGCTTTTGGACTACCAAGAACCCGTATCCACACAAAAGAGCAACTGCAGG